TACCAGGAGGCACTTAAGGTCTAATTCCTTTTCAATTAGGTAATTTTTCACATTGGGAGCAAATGCATGGTGTAACCAGTCATAGAAAAAGTCCCTAGTGACCCATGCCTCACTGTTTGCCCTCCACAGCACACACAAATTAGCCTTGAGGATATTCTTTTGCCGGAACGCTCTGGGAGTTTCTGAGTGATACACCAATAAAGGCTTCACTTTGCAATCACCACTAGCATTGGAACACATCAACAGAGTAAGCGTGTCTTTCATAGGCTTATGTCCTGGGAGAGCCTTTTCCTCCTGAGTAATGTAGGTCCTGCTTGGTAATTTCTTCCAAAACAGGCCTGTTTTGTCACAATTAAACACTTGTTCAGGTTTCAATCCTTCAGCCTCTATGTACTCCTTGAATTCATGCACATATTTTTCAGCCGCTTTGTGGTCTGAACTGGCAGCCGCACCATGCCTAATCACACTATGTATACCACTACGATTCTTAAATCTTTCAAACCAACCTTTGCTGGCCTTAAATTCACTCACATCACCACTAGTTGCACACAATTTTTTTAACAAATCGTCATGCAACTGCCTAGCCTTTTCACAAATGATTGCTTGAGAGATGCTATCTCCTGCTATCTGTTTTTCATTTATCCACACCAATAACAGTCTCTCAACATTTTCTAACACTTGCGGTCACTGTTTCGTAATCACAGTTGCACCTTTTGCAAGAGCAGCTTCCTTGATTTCCGTTTTCTTGCTCAGTGTAGTAGAGATGGTTGATTGGGGTTTACTATACAACCTGACCAGCTCCGACACACGCCCTCCACTTTCATTAGCACCCTTGGTCTCAAAGGGTTGGCACTGGGAGCTTTCTTGGGGCCCATGGTGACTTATTTTGCAAAAACAGGCACCAAAAACAGTGATAATATGAATAATATGGAATGTACCGAATGTATCCTTAGATGCGCGCACACTGGCTGGCTTGTAAACACTGGCACACACAGGGCAGTTCAGGCCACACATGGACATGTCTTGTACGAACCACATCGCATACCGGGTTTTGTATTGGGAAGCGAGGCAAATTTTCTGCGATATAATGCATCGGTTACCGGATTTATTGGATACCGATAGCATCGCGAACCGGGGGTCCACTGTACTAGTACGGCTTACGCACCAGGGTTTTTGACGTACTAGTACGCCTAAATTCTAGTGCCCTCAAATCTAGTGAGAGGGAGCTGGTAGGCCTACATATGAAAGAATGGGTCTATGTGGTCAGTGTGCGCAGTATAAAAAAACCCTGCAGCACAGTGCGTAATGAGAAAAAAAAAACTGACTGTTTTTTTGGAATAAATACAGCGACTTTGCAATGTATTTTTGTATGGTATTTATTGTTGTGTTCTAGTTTTCTTGGTCTCATTTTATAGAATGGAAGACATGTTACAGAAATTGAGATGATTTTGACTGGTTTTACAATGAAAAGTACCTTGAAATTGTGCTCAAAGTAGCAGAAATGTTCGATTTTTACCAAAGTTCAAAAGTAAACAAATCATGCCAGGCGTCCAATACACGTCAAATGGTGAGTCTAATGTTCTTTCACAAGTGCGCCGATATTATTTATACCATTTCTACACTAATGCAGTAGTCTGCATAACAGTCAATCTTATATTTTTTGTGAGAATAAAAATTCAAAGTGGAAAGCAAAAGAATGTAAGAGGGGCATGGGGACATGACTAGTGAACAGAGGAAAAGTTAATTTAGTGCCAGGAATGTCTATCTTGTTTATTCTGGACCCTATTTGGAAATTGGCATCTTTTGAAATTTGTGTGAAATTGGCAAAATTGCTAAATTCTGACCACTGTATTGGATAGTTGAATTCAGTAAATGGGTGGTTTCTTGTACTCATTCAGTAGAAAAAATGGAGTTCTAGCAAAATAGTTATGATTTTTGTCGACTAGTACAGTGGAATTGGCTGAAAATTGGGCTCAAAGTGGGTAAAATCGCCAATGCGTAAACATTGTCGAGACCGCTAACTTTGCGAGAGCATAATTCCTCAAGTTTTCCATCAAATTTCATACTTTTGGTGTCATTATGACCGGGAAAATATTCTCTATCTTTTCATAAGATTTTTTTTTTTTTTTTTTTTTTTTTTTTAAATTTTGGCAACCCTGAGAACAAGTCTGGGAGAAGGCCTGGGGATCCTGAAAAGGTTGATTAAAAAATGGTCGGAGTTTTTTTTCTCGTTATGCACTGCGTGCTCCAGGATTTTTTTTATATGGTGCACACTGACCACACAGACCCATTCTCTCACATGTGGGCCTACCAGCTTTCTCCTGCTTGATTGGAAGCCGCTAGAATTTATGAGTACATGTACGTCAAACATGGTACCTCGTAAGACATATATATATATATATATACGACCGAAACAGTGGAAGAGGTAATCCAGTTATGAAATTTTCTTCAAAATTATGAAGCACGTTACATAGCATATAAAAATGATACATACACGCACAGAACAATAAATTTCACGTAAATATGAGGTGTGGTATCCAGGCAGAGGGAAAACGTGTATGAATCTGCATTTGACCCAGTCACTCCCCTTAACACATTCTGCTTTGTTTGCAAATCTCGGCATGAATTCTCATTACTTCTCCCTTCGTTTATGTGGCACCTAAAGGTAGCTAGAAATTAAGTTCGGTGAACAAGGTATGTCGATAGTAATAATATGGCTCTGGGCCACATAAAATATCATATAGCTATGTAGGTAGGTGTAGCTATGTAGCCCAGATGGGCTACATCTACTGGCTACCTACACCTGACTTACTGCAAATAAATACTACTCACCTCTCATCCTACATTGACTACACATATTTTAAGGTAGATAATGAGTGTATTGTATGTGTATTTTATATCTCTGGGCTGCTTTAAATATCGTATACGTATTAGGTTTGGGACGGGGAGCCAGGGCTTCCTACACCTGACTTTTATTTATAATTTTATTTATTTATTTATTTATTTATAATTTGAGCACACTTACAGAGGTACAAAAAAAAAAAAATACAGATAAGAGCAGCATGCCAAAGCTCCTACAAATAAGTAATACTCACTTCTCGCCCTACATTAAGACTACAAATATTTTAAGGTAAGTAATGAATGTAATGTGTATGTATTTTACTTCTATTGTATTTTTTAACCCTTTGGGGGTTTCGGCCGTACTAGTACGGCTTACGACCCAGGGTTTTTGACATACTAGTATGCCTAAATTCTAGCGCCCTCAAATCTAGTGGGAGAAAGCTGGTAGGCCTACATATGAAAGAATGGGTCTATGTGGTCAGTGTGCGCAGTATAAAAAAAACCCTGCAGCACAGTGCGTAATGAGAGAAAATAAAACTGACCGTTTTTTTGGAATAAATACAGCGAATTTGCACTGTATTTTCGTATGGTATTTATTGTTGTATTCTAGTTTTCTTGGTCTCATTTTATAGAATGGAAAACATATTACAGAAATTGAGATGATTTTGACTGGTTTTACAATGAAAAGTACCTTGAAATTGAGCTCAAAGTAGCAGAAATGTTCAATTTTTACCAAAGTTCAAAAGTAAACAAATCATGCCAAGCGTCCAATACATGTCAGCTGGTGAGTCTAATATTCTTTCACAAGTGCGCCGATATTATTTATACCATTTTTTACACTAATGCAGTAGTCCGCATAACAGTAAATCTTCTATTTTTTGTGAGAATAATAATTCAAAGTGGAAAGCAAAAGAATGTAAGAGGGGCCTTGGGACGTGACTAATGAACAGAGGAAATGTCATTTTAGTGCCAGGAATGTCTTTCTTGTTTATTCTGGACCCTATTTGGAAATTGGCATCTTTTGAAATTTGTGTGAAATTGGCAAAATTGCTAAATTCTGACCACTGTATTGGATAGTTGAAATTGGTAAATGGGTGGTTTCTTGCACTCATTCGATAGAAAAAATGAAGTTCTAGTACAGTGGAATAGGCCGAAAATAGGGCTCAAAGTGGGCAAAATCGCCGATGCGTAAAAATCGCCTAGACCGCTAACTTCGCGAGAGCATAATTCCGTAAGTTTTCCATCAAATTTCATACTTTTGGTGTCATTATGATCGGGAAAAGATTCTCTATCTTTTCATATTTTTTTTTTTTTTTTAAATTTGGCCGACCCTGAGAACAAGTCTCGGAGAGGGCCTGTCAACCCTCAAAGGGTTAATGCCAAGTTCTATTACTTAACATAAGTTAGTGTAAACTTCTTGTCTGGCATTTATATGCATTTATAAATGGAAAAATGGCATTCTGCTTTCTGGCAGTAGACTGGAACCTAACCTGCCTTATAAGTGGGGCCCTACTGTGTGTGTGTGTGTGTGCGTGTTTGTTTATTTATTTATTTATTGTGGCTGTGTAACAGCTGATGTCTGCCATACAGTATGTTGTCACCTTGAGAATATTTACTTTGATTCTTGATAAAATACCAGTTAATTTTCCAGATGTGTTCTCTATCCTTTAAACTAATGATATGTAAGGGACTCCATATATATATTTCCACTGTTTGCATAGATAGCTTGAGCAACAAGCAGCATGCATTTTCTTTGCCTTGGGGTTTACATTTAGGTGTATAAAATTTAGAAGGCTATGAAATCCATTCTACTATATAGCCTTTCTTAAGGTTGGCTTTCTTACTGTTCACCTTTCTTTACTGTTCACTTTAGAATTGTATGGCTGTGTTTAAGGAGTAGTATTGTGTTAGGATCTTAACATGTTGATAAAGTGTTAGCAATTAATTTATTCTAATTCATAATGTGAGAGTTAAAACAGCTTATCTAAATATACAATTGAAATTAAAAATGAGAATTTAGCATTTGGTTTTTGTGAATATTTAGTGCTCCGTGATGCTTCATGATACCACCATTCATGACATGCAGTGCAAGTTACATTAATGTTGAAATACTGATACCTTTCTCTCTATAAAAACTAATTTATTGTTATGAAATACAGCCAGGTGGCAACCATGGGGAAGCAAGCACTAGCAATTTTGCCACCATAAAGACTACATCCATTGTTAGCAAACAGCAGAAGGAACACCTTCAGGAAGATATGCATGCTGCCATGTCTGGCTACAAACGAATGCGTCAAGAACATCAGCGAGCGCAAGCTAAGGTACGACATTCATAGTTGTTCCATGTGTAGCTTGAAATGTTGAAATGTCAGGGAAAGAAGAGCAGTTCTGAGAAAGAACATAGCATCAAAGATTCAGGGTGCAGTATCAAAGATGTTTGTAGATAGACTCTTGTTTCAGCTGGCACAGGATTGAGGTTGGATTTTGTTAACTATGTATATCACATACATATTTTAGATGTGTATACAGTATTATGCTGATAATGAAGTTTTTTTTTTTTTTTTCAAAACTTCCTTGATTTGAGCTTGATCATTTTTTTTTCCTTGGTAGTGCTAAATACAGCTTGTATTCTGTTTAATCAACTGTTCTTGCTGTTGTCAATTCATTGATTTAGAGCTTCACATGAATATGTTACATGAACACTTCAGATATGCACATGGCACATCAGAATTTCTTTTTTACCTACTAACACAATTACTTAAACCACATAGGTAGGTATTATGTACTCTACTGGGTATCAAAATTGTCATACACTGAATGTAAATGACTTTTACTAATAGACAAATCTTTTTTTACTTAATCTCTCACCCTTTTCAAGCATCTACACGGAGTAAATGGCAGAGCACACTTGTAAGTTGAGATTACATAAGTCAGATTGCATATCTTTCCTTACCTAATTACTAATAATTATTTCTTTTTATAATGGTCAGCTTGAAGAAAAATGTCGTGTTGAAATGGAGAATCACAAGCACATGCTGGACAAGGAGTATGAAGCGTTGCTTACCCAGTTCAGCAAGGAACTTGAGAAACTCAGGCAGGTTAGTTCTTCTAGCTGCTTTTGTATGACATAAATTACTGTAGGCCCTCATCGTTTGCGAGGGTTATAGAACTATATGTGAAAAGAGCAATGAGTGAAGTGAAGAACTTTTGGGAAAATTGGGTTAAGTTCAATGATGCCTTTTAAAAAACCATACTACATTTTTCAAGTTCTTAATTTGTCATTGTTAATAGTTTTTCACAATGTACATTGTAGATGTTTCTTGTCAGTCTGGAAATGTGTGGAGGGGGTTCATGTTGCCATAGCAGGCCTAGTTGGATGTAGTGAAGGCTTTATTTTAAATGGGTTATCCACAATTAAATTTAAGTAATGTACAGTGGAACCCCGAGTTTCGAACGCATCGA